CCCCCACCTCCCCCTGGGCTCCCTCCTCCACCTTTCACTGGTGCCGATGGCCAACCTGCCATGCCACCACCACCTCCTCCAGATGGCACCAAGGCCAAGTCCTCCTTACCACCGGTGAGCGACGCTCGTAGCGACCTGCTTTCAGCCATCCGTCAAGGTAAATCCCGAAGTGTTTCAGGACCACGGGGCCTTGTCTTTGCAGCTGGAGTGACTGACTAGTGGGGGGGTGGGGGGCTCTTGAACCTTGCCAGAGAGCAGCTTTCATTGAGAGGGAAGAGATGTAGACACTAGTCCTGTGATCGCCCTGAAGAAAGGCTTTACCCTGGGTAGGGCGGGGTAGACATTTGGAATTCTTTCCACCTTGATTTAAAGATTTCTAACCTTGGGATCTTTGAATTCTGTGAGATTGTATGCTTTGTGGGTATGTGAATTTTTTTTTAGGGCAGGAGCCATCAAGTTCTCTGAAGAGCTCTGGGCTCCAGAAGAAAACGCAGATTCGATGTCCTGGGGGTACTTCTCTAGCAGGACTTCTCCTCACTGTCAGGGGCCAGGGCTGGTCCTAAAGGGTTACAGAGTTTGTTTCTGTGTATGGCTCTGTAAGGGATTTCTAGTCTAGGAGAGACCGTGCAGACAGCTGGCTCCTGTACAGTCGATGGCACTGGACAGACTGAGTCCCTGCTGGATGGGCTCTTGCTACACGGACCCTTAGGAAGCCTTTTAGCACTGGGACCACCACCTCTTTCACATCACCTCCTTTCTCTGTCCTTTCCAAAGCTCCTCCCACCACTTGCCACTCCCCGTCTTCCATCCTGGAGGGATTTTGAGGCTGAGAGAAAACACACCTGCTGAACCCTTTCCCTCCCTCCCCCCTCCAGGCTTTCAGCTGCGCAGGGTTGAGGAGCAGCGGGAACAGGAGAAGCGGGATGTCGTGGGGAACGACGTGGCCACCATCTTGTCTCGGCGCATTGCTGTTGAGTACAGCGACTCGGAGGATGACTCCTCTGAGTTTGATGAGGACGACTGGTCAGATTAGTGCGCCCTGCTGCTGCCACCACGCTTTTCTCTGTGCTCCCCACCTGCCGCCTTTGGCGTGTGCTACACCCATGGGACACGGAAGGGAAGAAAAGAGGAGGAGAGTTTCAAGGGGCCAAAGCCTTCCCCCGACAACCAAAGATATATCCAAGTGCTTCCTCCCAATCTGCCTGTCCTTCTCCACCCCTTAAAGCTGGGCCGGGCCTCCTGAGGTTTAGTAGCTAAGACGTTTCCTCTTCCATCAGCTGCCTGTGGAAGGGAAGCAAGCCCCAAAGCAGATCCCTTTGATTGGGTTGAAGCTAGAAATGGAGCCTTCCCCTAAGGGGCCGTTTCCAGACTGGTCTTCTTCCACAGCCCTGGCCCTCGGCTGCTCTCAGGACAGGGGCCATCTTCCAGCCCTCCAGCAATATGAGTGGCCTGTGCACTGAGGGCAGAGCAGGCTGCAGGCCCTAGCCACCTCCTTCTGCCCTGAGCTGCAGGCCGAGGCTGCCTTCCACCATGCCACCTCTCTATGCCTCAAATGCCTTTTCTCCGGGGGAGGGGTCTAGCCTCTAAAGAATGTCTCACCCCCTCCCCCAGCCCAGAAATGATGCTTTCCTGAAGACAGATTGTTCAGGGTGCCCCTCTCAGCTTCCCTTCTGGGAACTGTGAGGTTTCTGGATGCCTTAAGTGCCTCGCTTTCCCCAAACCCCCCGCCCGCGCCCCACCTAGGTGCCTTCGGGTACCACAGCCCAGCTCTACCCTTTAATACTGGTGACCAAACCAGCCCTGACACACAGGGATCCGGCCTCGGCCTGCCTTCTGGAACCAAGCTCTGAGACTCGGCACTGCAGCACTGGAAGACGGTGGGACTCCTTGGTCACTTCCACTGACAGATACGAAGGCCTGGAGATGGGAAGTGACCTGCTCAAGGTCACACAGTTGGATGGTGACAGTGCTAGAGCCCAAAGTCCTGCCTCCAAGTTGCCTGTGCTTTCTGGGACCAAATTGTGGGCACCTGCTGGACGATGGACAGAGCCATCTTGGCTCAGTGGGGGTCCCTGCAGGAACGCTCAGGGCCTGTGCCTGCCCTGCCACTGCTGCTCAGACCCTTGGAGCCTCTCCTGTCATTTGCTGGCCCGCACACCCCTCCCCTCCCCAGCCACCCACATGGCCTTGGGAACTGCCCTTCTGGGGGCCCCAGAGGTAGTGAGGGAAGGAAGGGGGAGGCACATTGACAGGTGCTGTTTTCAGTTCCTCTGCAATGCCCCCTCTCTGATTCGCCAATTTCACCATAGGCTCCTCCATCTGTAGAGACTTCAGCCCCTTAGGTGGCAGCCTCTGCAGGGACCTGCCTGGGGCGCTGGCAGCCAGGAGGGAGGAGTGTGGGAAGGCAGCCGACCTCTGCGTCTTGCTCCCAGCTCCCCTTCTCAACTGCACATGGAGGCCCTCCTTCCTTCCCTTCCCAGCGTGGACACAGGTGCTACCACCCAGGAGAGACAGCAGTGACGGCTGACAGCAGGGCTGCTGCTCCACTGCCCTGAGTGCTGTGCAGCCCCTGCTGCAGAAATCTGCTGCTCCAGCTCTCTGAGCCCTGAAACAAAGAGACCCGGGCTCTGTCTCTCCCGCACAGCAAATGGTTGTCATAATTGCCAAAGCCCTCGTAAACCCCTTCGGCTGGAGGAGAGAGAGTAATCACAGCCGCGGCACGGAGCTGCGCCTGCTGAATGCGGCCTTCCCTCTGCCTTTGTTCCTGAACTTGGGTGTGGGGACTGCGCCTGTAGGTGCCAGCTTTCCCTCCTGCTGTGGCTCTCCAGAGTGCACTCCCACCCACCACCCACCCCCAGATCAGGTGTCTTTGGCACAAGGCTGGCCCCAAGGGCTGCTCATGTGCCCCCACTAACACACACACAAAAAGCTGCGGCTACTGGTTCCCCAGCCCTGGCATGGCGGCTGGAGCCGCTCCCCTCTGGCTGCTGCCCAGTGGTGACAAAAAAAGGCCGAAAGAGGGCACTGAGTCTCCCAAATGGGAGCCCTGGGGTCTGGCCAGACTGGGGTTTGGGCCTAATGGCTTTGACTAAATTACCCCATCCCCCTGCTTTCCGGAAAAAGGCAGCCAGCGCCACTTTCTATCATTCTGAGCTGACCTTGAAGGGGGTGGTGTTGGCCCGCGTATGGAATGGGCAGCAGCCACAGTGGAGAGAGGGAGGCTGGGGGCAGGAAGGGCTGGGGAGGGGGGCGCGCCGCCTGCGAAGGTGGGATTAGATCATTAGCTCGGTGACCTCCCAGGGTTCCGATGTGCTGTGTTCTCCTCCTGCAGCTGGTTTGGTAATGATCTGCAAGTCCCGGAGAGCAGCAGCACAACTCTGCCTGACGCGCTCATTAAAATCCATGCAGCCAAGCTCGGCGCTTTGTAGCTGGCGGCCGTGGCGAGCCTGCTCAGCTGGGGGCTGGGACCCAGTCAGCCAAGAGGCCCTCTGGGCTCTACTTATGCATATGTGCACCAAAAAACACAGCCCTTTAAACCCAGAGCCCTTTAAGATGAGAAAGGACCAGGACCCAATGCAGCTAATTGTGTTTGTAGAATCCTATAATCGTAGAATACAAAGTTTAGTGATTATTTAAATTGCTCCCGTGCTGGTGAGAGTATGAAACAATGGCCCATAAAGAACCTTTGGAGCTGAAGCCAAGGAGCCGCCTCCCTTCCTGGTCTGCCAGCCCTGGGGACCTGCCCCATTCCTGTGGCCCAGGGGCCCCTGGTCCACTCAGCAGTCTCAGAAATGACTTGTGGCTTCGCTTGGGTCTCCAGATGAGTACATTCCAGAGGCACAGCCAGGAGGAGGGGCGGGCTCAGCATTGCTGGAAGCCCTCAAGCAGCTGGCCCACCCCAGAAGCTCGCCTCAGCAGAAGCTCCAGCACCCTGAGAAACGACCCTGGTCAATGTCACTGCTGAGCTGAGGCACTGTTGTCAGGGCTGAGGTGAGATCCCCCTGCGGCGCCAGCCAGGACACGGGTCTCTGTGGCTTTGGTGACACGCTTAGCATTCCCATCGTGTCCCAGCCTGGCTCTCGGCTCTCAGACTGCCTCCCAGCCAGTGGGGCTTTTACTCAGAGGTCAGGTTTCCTGGGTGGGCATCAAGCTTGGTGCTGGGGTCCAGGAAGGCTAGGGAATAATCATTACTGTATTAACTTTATTCAGCTCTTTTACTTGAGAAGCTAACTGAATTTTACTTTGCTGTCTGGAGTGATGTGCAGGTAGGGGTGTGAGCTGTCATGCTCCCAAAGTGCCTTGTTCTCTCTGGAATCAGCATATTTATAAGGACCATTGATGCTCCATGGAGTGTAGGGAGTGGGCACAAATGCGGTGGGTTACAGCCTGAAAGCGCCCTGTGCCTGCTGCCTCTCCTCTCTCCTGTCCCCAGGCCTCCAGAAGCAACCCCAACTCTCCCGAAAGCCCAAGCCCAAGCCCGTGGCTCTGAGCCTGCGCATTTCCTGGCAGGCTCGCAGTGTACTGCGTTTGTACCCGAATGTTCTTAAGGTCCCAAGTAACTGTTCTCTGTGTCTACATGAATACCTAAATGCCAACATCTTAAATAATTTGATAAAACCTTTTTAGTCACTTGGCCACTTCTGGTGTCTTATGTTCAGTGGGAGAAGCATCGGTGTGGTGGCAGGGACAACCTTGGTGGTCACAGGTGGTGGCCAGGACTCGGGAGGTAGCCAGCCGGGTAGCCCGGGAGGCTTGTGGGGCTGCATGGTGGGATGGGAGATGGAAGTCATTGGGCTTAGGAAAAAGTGGGGAGATCTGGAGCCCCGGGCCCACGGCACTACCTTAGGGTCCACTGGGTGGGGCCAGAGGTGTCCTGGATGTGGTGCTGGCGACTCCTTGGATCACGCAGGAGAGGGGCACAGGCTGAATGCTGGTGCTGCCTCCCAACATCTGGCCGCCTCTCAGACCTAAGCAACTTACCTTAAATAGAACGACTTACAATGGAATCCGATAAAACATTTACTGCTGCAAGCCCCTCTTGCTTAGGGAAGGCCGAGGGGCTGGGTTTACATCCTGACCTGAAAAAATGACCTACCCAGGAAGCAGCGGTTGTTTTGAGCACAGCTGCTGCGGGTAACTGCCCCTCGGGGTAATTTATGAGCAGACACCCAGTTCCGGGCTGAGCAGACGCAGTGGGGTGGCCCCTAGGAGAGGGTTGGGAGCAGGGTTGGTGACTGCTGGTCATGCCTGCTGTTCAGAGTCACCCACTGGCATCCCAGGAGAAGGGGCAGAAGTTTTGAATTGTCAGCAACTGCTGCGCCAGCCGCTCTGAGCTCATCGCTGGAGGTGGGGGTGCAGGGGAGGGGGGTGCGGAGCCTGCTGGCTGGCCCAGCTGAGCCCCTCCGCCCCACCCACCTCAGGCCTGTGTTTAGTCAGCACTTGGCCTCCCTAAGCTGGTGACTGACAGCCAGCCAGCCGCCCTGGAAGAAGACAAAATGGTGGTGTGGGGAGCCGCCCTTGCTGGGGATTCACTTGGAGGGAAGGAATGTGGTTCTGAGAAGCAGGCAGAAAGCCGGAGCTGAATTCTTCTCCTTCTGCCACTTAAAGCTGTGACCCTGTGCCAGGCCCATCACCACTTTGGGCTGATCCTAAGAAGAATGAGCCTTTCTTGAGCGCCCACTACCAGCCAAAGCCTGCATACACTTGATCCCAGACCTCTGACACACCGGCCAGCCGGTTCAGAGAAGACCTAGTCCCTAATGACACAGCCGATGGAGCAGAGCTCGTTCGAATGGGTTTGGAGCCAGAGTCCTTCTATTTCCCCCAAAGAGAAACCCAGTGAGCCTCCATCTAGATTAACAGCGGTTCTCAACCTGTGCGTCTCAACCCCTTGGGGGTCGAATGACCCTTTCATAGGGGTCGCTTAAGACCATCAGAAAACATTTCCGATGGTCTTAGGAACTGAGACAGGGCTCCTCTGTCTCCAGGCAGATACTCCCACCTACGAGTACCTGGCATGGAGACTGTTACCCATGTTACGCCATGCTTCAATGCAAAATTTCATTTATTTGTCAGTAGAAATATTTCACTATACGTATTGTTTTGTGATTAATCACTATGCTTTAATTATGTTCAATTTGTAACGAAAATGCATCCTGCATAAAAGATATTTACATGACGATTCATAACAGTATCAAAATTACAGTTATGAAGTACCAACACAAATAATGTTATGGTTGGGGGTCCCCACCACATGAGGAACTGTATGAAAGGGTCGCGGCATTAGGAGAGTTGAGAACCACTGCTCTAGAATCAGTCTGCTGTGTGGGAGGGGGCATGTTAGAAGCCTGCAGTTCTCTACCTCACCGCCTGGGGCCTGATTTTACCCATAGAGGAGTGGGCTGTGGTTATGAACCAGATGAATATCCTAGGCGTTTAAAACTACAAGTATGTCTGACCCCTCAGCTCCCTGGGCACAAAGTGCATGCTCTGGCTGCGGGCTGGGGCTTCACACAGACGCATGCACGCACACATGGATGCGTACCCTCAGACACGTCTACAGGAAAGACGGAGTGGCACACGAGCCAAGCCCAGGAACAGGTGCATGCACTGCACAGATCCCCGTCCTGGGCAGACAAGGCCACAGCCAGCACGTGTGACAAGAACACCATCACAGGCACACATCTCACACCAAGTCCTCTGGAGCCATCCCTTGCCTCCATGCAGCCACCGCATCAGTGTCGGCTCCTCACTGCCCCCTCCTGGCCACCGTGTGTGTCCAGGGCCCCTGGACACCTTCCCCTCAGGCTGTGCTGGGGCAGTTGTCAACAAGTTCCCTCCTGGACGCATGCTCCCCATGGGTTGCCCCTCATGTCCAGGAAGTATGAGTGTCTAAATGGGACTCTACAGTCCCAGGAGGGCCCTTGTGGTGAAGCAGTCAGCTGCTAACTGAAAGGTTGGTGGTTCAGGCCCAGCCCAAGGCACCTCAGAAATACCAGGTGATCCTGTAGGTGGTAACTCCAGCGGGGGTCCCCAACACACGGGACCACCAAGGGTTGAAATTGAAACTTGTTTCTAAGAGGGGTTCAAAAGATTGAAGAGCAAGTTAAAAGACCCAAAGGAATCATAAGGTAGAATGGCCAGTGCCATGAAGACAGGAGGGCAGGTAATGTTTGGGCCAGGACTTCTACGTGAGAAACCTCCCACATCGGCTCACCACGGCCCTTGCCCTTGCCCTTCCCCTACCGAAGGAAAGGAGCCCTGGAGGTGTTGCCAAGAAAGCGTTGGGCTGCCAACTACGAGGTTGATGGTTCAAACCCACCAGCTGCTCCTTGGGAGAAAGGTGAGGCTGTCTGCTCCCCATAAAGCCCAATAGTTTCAGAAACCTTAGAGGGACGCCATGAGCTGTTATCAAAGTCACTGACAGTAGTGGGTTTGGCTCATGAGGAGCTGACCCACATGTCCCCAGTGTACCCACACATGCTCACACTCTGCATGCCTGTGTACAGAGGAGCTAGCTCCCACTAAGTCAGAGGCCAAGTCTCGCAGCCCCCCTCCGCTTTCTCATCTAAACAAGGAGGACCTGAATGTGAGGATGCATAGAGCCTCTCCCCTCTGAGGTCCTACCTCTCCAGAACGTGTGTGCTTGAGCAAAGTACATGCGTGTACGTGACCCCCCACAGACTCAGGGCAGACCTGAGAGGACTAGCCAGGCAAAACCTTTTATTCCCGTTTCACAGAGGAGGAAACTAGGTACAGAGAGGCACCGCAACTTGTCCAAGGTCACACAGCAAGTTGACAGCAGAGAAGGAACCCGGCCCTTCCCAGGGCACCTACCAGAGAGCAAGGACCCTGTGGGCTTGGGCCCAGAGTTGTGGAGAGTACCGCAGGGCGAACGTCTGGGGGTCCACCCTTCTGTCGGATCCTCAGGGCTGCCTAAAAGCTTGGGAGGGACTGCCAGGTGGCCCCAGGCACAAGCCCGGGCAAGGAGGCTGGGAAAGGGCACCTGGAACCTTCCTGGGTCTCCCTGCCACCAGCAACAGCAGCCTGAGCAGACTTCAAGCTTCATTATAGCAGGCTGGAGGCGGTCTGCAGGGGTTCTCCCTAGCCTGTGGGCACCTGGTAGCTTGTCTAACAGGGCATGTACACAAATGTGAGTTGTGTGCATGTTTGTGTGGAGTTCACATGTGCATGTGTTTTTGTATGCCTACAAATAACACTTAAGGGTACATTCGTAGGCATGTATAGAATACAAGTGTGTGTGTGGGTATAAACGTGACTGCATTTGTGTGTGTAGATGAGCATTTGCGTGTGAGGATGTGCACACGAGTGGTATCTGCGTATCTGGCAGGTGAATTTGTGCACATGTAGGACGTTGTTTGTATACATGCTGTGTCTGTTCATGATTGTGCAGAGGGCGTGGAACACATCCACACGTGTGTGCACGGATGGCTTCATGTGCCCGTACCCAGGAATTGAAGGAGAATGTGACGCCAGTGTTCCCCCAGACTCGGTCGAAGGGGTGGCCTGCCTGGCTCCTTCCATGTTGCTACCCGCACTGGGCTCCCAGCACCTCCACCCCCACTGCCGCACACGCACTATTCCCCAGACCCATCCTGCTTGGCCAATTTGCAGCCTCTTGCTCCCAGCTCCAGAGAAGGCCTGCAGCAAAGTCAAGGGGCTGGTGGCCAATTAGTGAGGGGGTTAATCAGGGATCTGGGGACCCTCCAGGGGGGGGTGAGCCAAAGGCAGACACGGATTGGCAGGAGCTGCCTGTCATGAGACCGGGAGTGGGTGAGGGACAGGCAGAGGAGGCAAAGGCAGCCCACTGGTCCTGGAAGCTAAGGGTGCACCAGTGAGTTCCTGGCTGTGGGAGCCTGTGGGTGCGCTGCCCATGGTGTGAGAGGGCGCCCACCCACTCAGCCCTTGAATTTGCCCTGAGTGCCCATGTCTGCGTGGGAATATGGACACTATCTGCATCCACGTGCATGCAGTTTTAGTCCCCTGTAGATGAGGGGGCTTCAAAGTGTTCATGGAAAAATGATGTTTTTTTTTCCACGAGCGTGCAGCGGTGTGCAAATGAGCATGGGGGCAGGACAAGCTTCTGGATCGTGTACACATGCACATACGAAGGGGTCTTAGTTACCCAGTGGGGCTATAGCAGAAATACCCCAAATGGGTGGTTTTCACAAGCAGAAGTTTATTTTCTCACTGTTTAAGAGCTTAGAAGTTCCAATTCCAGGTGCTGGCTCTAGCAGAAGGTCCTTCTGCTCCTGTGGCATCCCCTATGGCTGCACCCCCCCC